GTCAGCAATTGTCATTCCGCTTCGGTAGAAACGATAACCCTAAATAAAGCAGTCGGAATTTATTTATTAAATAAAACATGTACGATGTACACTAAATTTAGGAAAACCTAGTGGCTTTGGTAAATATCGATATTCTATTTGATTCATGAAATGTCGTGTCATCTAAAGAAAGCTTATCGGAAGAACGACAGATTGAGTTTAAATCTTCTATTTTTGTTTAGCACGTTCCCTTTAGCAAGATTCCGCTACTCCAGTCAATCTCCTTTATTTTTTTTGTTTTTGGCTAAGTACTCGGTGACTCTTTGCAGAAACTGAATTTTAACGAAAGGCAAAATTTCTTTGAAATATATTCATTTTCATGCATTATAGGTTTTTCTGCTGAAATGATTACCAAAATATTTCGCATGTGCCCCATTCAAGACGACCATATTGTCAACTGCTGACAACGATGAATACAATCTTTACAGCAGCAGTAAACGCTGCTCGAAATCAATCTGAGATACTGATTCTAAAAGTTAGACATAAAAATCATGGTTGTTCCGTTAGCTTTTAATGATGATGACCCAACAGATAACAGCATGTTTCTAACTGTCAACACTTCACGAAGTTCTTCACCTAACTTCCATTTCACAATTAGGGTGGATGACGGTTTGAAAGCATCAGCAATAATTTGCAGTTGACACTCCGCCAACTACTTTAAAACTGACTCTACTGAAACTGAATTTCTTGAAAAAATGCTTAACAACTAAAGAAAATTTGGAAAGTAAGCATAGACTATACAAGCATCTACCTTTCGACGAAATGCAGGATGCGATCATCATTCAGACCAGATGTGTGAGTAATATCTTCTTCACTAGAAAAACAGTGTCTACAGTCACATTCCTCGACGTCTGCATGAACGAAAAAGACAAAAATCGCAGATCGGAATTCGGATAAATGAATATTATCGGCATAAACACTGGTTATTTATGTGCAGCGCAAAGCAGTCTGGCTAATTAGATAATTTACAAGCACCGGTGTTGCAACTCGCTTCTTAAGGGCTTTCTTCAAGGAGAAGAGCTGGTTGAGTCTCTAAATTATTCTATCTTGTCAGCAGCAGTTTGTATGCTCAGAACTATGATGCAATGAAACGATTATTGACATCGCTGTAAGTTAAGCGGATAGGTTCCGTTCCACCCGCCTAAGAAATTCAATTGATCTCGTTCAAATTGGAATTAGAAATGTGGGATTCCGGAGAATTTGTCAAAAGTTTTTCGCGGTTAAGAAAGTTTCTTTTTGCAAAAGCCTTTGAAGTATTATCACGAACCGATGACCTTCGGTTTATGATATAGGCGGATGGCTGAATCATTTGCAGTAAGCTGCGACATTCTGTCGCACTGCGTCGTATTACTGCTGACGATAGAATTGAAAAAATAAATTTACTGCATACGGCAACTCAGCGAGTTGAATATGAATATACCTAACTTTTATGTGAGGAACTGCAATGCCTGCTGCAGATTGAGGGTGCGTACACAGTGGACAAATAAATCAAATTCACTGCTTGAATGACGCAGCAAATAATTAAATTTTTCAAAAAAAAAACAGAAAGCTCATCTGTCATCAGCAAATCTAAACATCGGTCAGTCTCATTTTTATTTGCTGCTTATTTTTAGAATTTCCGTTATGTCCAAGTAATTTACTCACAAAAAATAGCGTATTCATTGGTTCGAGAAACGTCTTTGATCTAAACACATATATTTTGCGTACACGTAAAGTTTTATGACAAGAATGGGGAAATTTCAATCAGCGAAAACATAACCCCGATGTTCTGGGGTGGACTTCATGAGTGGGATTTCCAGTAACGAGTTGTTTTCGAGCTGTCGGGTTTTCGAAAGATATTCCAATCAGTTCGCAGAGTAATGCCGGGTAATATACGCAGATTAGTTGTTGGGTACATTTGCCGCAATCCTTTCCCTGAACTTACCGTAAATGATTTCCAGTTTTCAAAGTCCCTAGTAAAGTATATTTTGAAAAAATATATATCTCGATATCAGGCTTGTCATACTTTTTTCTATGGCACATTTAAATACGCTTTGAGAATCTTTTCATGCGCTGCATAGCGACAATCAGCTATACGATACTTCAAAAAGTCGATTTCAGTGTCTTCTGAAGCCTTTTCTTGCGTAGTTTTTTCATGAAACGTTTCTAGCGAGTGGCTGAGGTATTCAAGCAATCGTTCAACCTCGGACAGAAGCTGCACTGTCACGTGAACACGAACTTTGGCACAGATTGTAAATTCCTTAAGCATAGCAAATTTGTCATTTCAAATGCTGAGAAACTGATCGATTCGCGAAGCAAATGAACGAAGAACTATTTATGTGCGCTGTAAAATTTGCATAGAGGCATTTGACTTATTAAAATAAAATGCAATATCTCCCCCTATGCTTAGTACGTTTGTGTCGTATACGCTTATTCGTACAAGATTTCTAGACAAAATCTACCATTGTCAATTTCGGCATAATCTCGAGTTCATGAATCACGAATTTGAAGGAAATCGCGCATCTCCCATTCAATTCTTGCCATAATACTCAATAGTCCAACAGTGCAGTAGTTTTCAACTGCCCTAGCATGTGACGTTCTTGGACTTTCGAATAGCTTGGACTTTCGATTCAGTGCACCGCCAGGCATTACGAAATGTTATTCGGCACTATAGAATTCTATTGACGATGGTAAATCTGATTGAAAGTCTGTATAACGAAATGAGTGGCCTGATTCGAAAGATTATTACCGAATGTTTTTATATAACCAACGGAGTTCGACAAGACGAAGTTCTCCCTCCTTTGTTATTCAATATCACAGTGTACGTAGAACCTACTGCTGAAGGACGTCGTCAAAAATATCAAAGAAATACTGATGATCAGTCAATGACGCAACTCGCGATACCTAGCGATATTTTTAACGGACCATGATTATTTGGATGACATACTTTGAGTTCTGCTGAGCGACTCTGCGGGTAGCCTACGGACACCCACCAAATGCACGTGCAATACGACTATGGAACTGGGATTGGAAATGAATATTAGTGAAATAGTGATTACAGAAGCGCTCACCGTGAATGACAGACCAAGGATTATTTGAAACGGTACTGCGAGTACCTTGGAACAGTGCCGGTTAACGATGGATGCATAGATTGTGGTGTTAACTAGCGCATCGGACTCGCAACCGCGAATTACGGCAGGCTGCATGAAACATGGAAAGATTAGACTAAAACAACTGGTACGAAGATCACCATTCTGAAAGCAGCCGTATTGGCAATGCTGATTTACGGTCTGGAAACACGCACAGTTCTTCAACGTCAGGAAGTTCGTTTGGACAGCTTCCAATAGCATTTTTTGCGAAGCGTCTTTAAAATGCGATGGTTCCATCTGGTTACAAACTAGTAGGTACTGAAGCCAGTGGTTTGGTACATACAACCTGAAGAACCCTGAGTTCAGCGCTTTGCTTGGTTTGATAAAACAATAGAAAAAGAGAAAGGAAATATTAATCAAACCATCCTCAGATTGGAACCGTCCACTGGCCGTAGTAGTATTGGAGGAAATATAAATGCTTGAAGCAGCTCCAGAGACAAAACATGCTTGCGACGAGGGATATGGCTGTGCCGTAACAGTGAACTTTGCCTAATATCAATCTGTATTATCTTTTCTAACTGTTTTGAATATCACAAATCTATGCTATTTTTTTTGTCGTACAAGCTCTGGTGGTAACCTAAAATGAGATGACAGAACGACAACGACAACAACGCTCAACGGCTCCGCAGTCTATACCGAAGAGCAAACGTTGAGTTAGTCCGCTGTGGAAAACTTTGTTATGCACCTCGCTTTCGCCTACGAATAATATGTCTCTGTGACATAACTGGGCTCTTTCTTCAGAGCTCATAGCTGATGCTGAAGAACTCAGTAAGCTTTCAAAGAAAAGATACTGCGACATACCGATTTTAGACGTAGTGGCACAGTGAGTAAGAGGTTGGCTTTGAACATCGTGTTTAATCCGCTCAGATGGCTACTTCTGACCTTACTGCGAATTCATTGAGCAAAGAATAAGTCTCATTTTGTTTCATCGAAACAATATGCAAAATGGGTAGTAGGTCGTTGACTTGTGCCGATCGAAAGTCAGCCGAAAGTCTGTCTTCAGTAAAGGACCAGCCATCGCCTGAAATTCGGTGTCATACTTTGTGTGTTGCAGAGCAGTGTTCGTATGGTGCGGTAAATGCTCATTACGTTTTCGCATGTCATTACTGGCCGAGAGTCACAGCGCAGGAGATGATGGCCATTGGGCCCGACAGATGCCGACCTGCATCCAGTGTAATGAACAGCACATGGCGCAGCCCCAATTTCTGTACCTTTCGCATGACTTAAGATTTTATTAACAACATATACGGCGAAAAATCTTTTGCGCTTATTGGGCTACAATGTGTTATTATTATCCTGTTTATCACAAAGTGCAATATCATATGCACAGTAAATTATGCATTGCATTGAAATAAAACTTTTCACTTACGTCATCTTCGTCGAGAGTGTCCAGAACATTGGATACTTGATCGATTAACTCAATAAAACGTTCGCAGCGCTCGAAATCATTTTCATTCTGTACCGTTAAGCGTTCGAAACCGTTCAGTAGAGCTCCATTTTGACGGTCAATACAATTCCTGATTTCATGGAGACGCTCTTCTGCCATCTGGGCCAGTAATACGCTGGCATCAGCGATATTCGGTAGACTTTTTAAAGGCAAGAAGTGAACA